CCTGTATTCAAAAACTAACATCCTGGCGAGTCAGAAATATTGTGAGATTATGCCACATGAAAATCTGTATTACAACCCAGTCTAAGTAATCCTTCATAATCGAAAACGCATCTCAGAGTTCCGACTAACATTTCATGAGGTCGCTCACTGACTGTAAGTAGGGATATCATAGTGCAGCGGGACATGAGCCCCTGCGGCTGCGCCTACATCGGACTGACCAGCAATACGCTCAAAACGGTGGTCATTCATCCTCAGCAACCGAAAGCCGAATAAATAGCCACAGAATATTTCAATCCCACCAGGATGTGGGCTTTTGAATGAGCTTTTTTCGACCGTCTCCAAAAACTACCTTCTGTAAAAGCGACTACCTATTAGTGTGAATTATTTCCATTGATTTTCGATGCCACTACAAATTCAATTATGCTTCCTAGAGAACCGACACGAAAATTTTTTGTCTTTATTTGGTAGCAAATTGGGTTTCCTTATCACTTTCTATAAGAGGAGAAAGACTATTTTTCGGTTTTTGGAATTTTTTAATTCTCGAGCAATTTTTGCCTCGACTTGCCATTGCAATTGCATCCAGAGTTTCCAAACTACCTAATGTATATATTCTGTCAAAGGAATAACACACATTTCTCTATGCAGTTCGGAAGATGTCATACAGCTTTGATCGAACTGTTAATTCACGAGTCAATACGCTTTTAGTCAGGATGGAGGGTCAGGCTACAATCGCACCTGCTTAACGTAGTCTTCGTGGTAGTCCCACCTACATGAAACCGGGGACCCCTTAAGTCCGGTGCGTGTGGATTCGGGGACCAGACCAAAAAAGAAGATGCGATCGCTGGAACAAGAAGTTTATTCGCCTGACATTTCAGATTCTCACTCGAACCCACCATCACAGACAGCCGCAAAGAAGGGTGATAATGGCCCAAGGAATGCAGAATTAGTAAAGCGCGTAACATAAATGACAGCTCTCGCGTAGTAGCTGGAGGGTCATGTTTGATGCAGGGATTCCCTGTCAGTCCACATCTGAATAGTTACTTGCTGTAATCTCATCGCCCTAGTTAATTCTTGGTATGACAACTACTTTACAATCTGGCTCGTTGTTACTCGAACTGTTGGCCGCCCGCGCCCTGCCCCTGTGGCCAATTATTTGGCTCATATACGGTGAGTTAGCCGAGATTCTGAAATATGTTTTCGGTCCGAAAAGATTGCCTTAAGTAGGGTTGTAATATTAATTGACTTGCGGTATGATCGCCTAATATTTCAGTCATATCCGGATGCCGGCTTTTGAATGAGCTTCTTTTCGGCCCTCTGAAAGAAACCACACTCTGTAAAACGACTAGTTAAGTAGCCTAACTTTTTTCCATCTATTTTCGGTAATCTTATAGATTCAGATTTATTATATCGAAAAAATGCACAGAAGATGTTTTCCCCTGTACCCATTTAGTGTAAATTTACGTCTTCGTCGTTTTTTTACATGAAGAGAGACTATCTTTCAGTTTGAAAGCTTCACCCAATAAATGCATAAATGTTTGCCCCACTTGCCGTTGAAATTGCACTCAGGGTTTCCAAACTACATACTGTATGCATTCCGCCAAGGGAACAACACACATTTCTCTGCACTGTTAGAAAGGCGTCATATACCGTTCATAAAAATGTGCAATGAATGTGAGCCAGGTTGCATACTTTATGTGGCACTAATAAACATGCTGGCGGGATGCTGTATGAAGGAAAATTTCGCAGTCTTAAGAAGTCGCATATTAAGAAACGCTTCTAAAACGGAAAAGCATTCACGAATGAAGGCGAAATTTCGAGTTCCAGGTGTATTCATAAGTGAAAAAGAAGAGGTTTCGAGCACGGTCGCCTCCAGAGGACTCAAACAACAACACCACCGACGATATGACATTCTCTGCCATACATCAAGGGCGTTTTAGAAGCGACCGAGCGCATTGCTGCGGAGCTAGGTGTTGGAATTGCCCACCGTCCCAAAGCCACCATGCGCAGTAGGGTCATGAAAATAAAAGGTCGGTTAAAGCCTGAAGAGTAATCTGGAGTGATGTACCGCATCCCGTATCAAAACTGTCCTTGTAACTACACAGGCCAGACTGAACGCATGCTCGGATCGCACATACGCGAACAGAAGCTGGTTGTGCGACGAGACGACGCATCATCACAAGTGGCCGCCCACACCTACGAAATGGGTCACGAGTTTAACTTCGGAGCCACCAAAATAGTTGCCCACGCCGGAAACAAAACAGACCGAGAATTGCTTGAGGCCTGGGCCTCGGATGACAACTCAATCAATCGATTTAGCGACCTAGCGCCGGCGTATAGAGCCCTGCGTAGTCACCTCCAGTCTTGCGCTGTCGGTCGACGATTGGCCTAAATGCCCTATAACTGTCGCCTGTTCTGTTGCTGCAACTATCTCTGACGATGGACTCCTGCACGAGTCCGAAAGCTCAGGACAATAAACAAAATGTTCCGGAAAAATATTCTCTCTTCAAGAACAAAATTTGGTGAAGAGTGACTCGTTACCCAATGAGTACAAGAAGGAATATTTTTTGTGTCCATTCGCTACGAAATATAATTGAATTTCTGAGAGCACCGATAATCAATGGGAAAAAAATCATACTACTTAATGGTCATTTTTACAGAGGGTAGTTTTTGCAGACGGCCGAAAGAAGTACAGTCGGAAGCCGACATCTTGCCGCGATTGAAATATCTCGCGGCTATGCTACGTACTAATTACTATCACAACCCTGCTTAAGTAGTCTTTTAGAACCGAAGACACGTTTCAGAATTTCGGTCAAAATTTCATGAGATAGCACATCAGGTCCCCAATGTTTCCCTGGCCATGTGACCGTCGCCTCCACCAACTGTTTCAGCGTTCACGAACGCGAACGAGTTTCCAGCTCTGGCGTAATTTTCCGCCACCCAAGAACTGGCGTACCGGCTTACGCATGACCGCATGCATCCAGATCTCTCCTTCGCATTTCGCCTAGTACGAAATAAATCAGACCTTGAAGACCATGTGGAACGCTTAGCATCATAGAGGGCGTTTCCTGCTTTTCGCGATCAGACACCAGATTGTTGCTTCAGACCCGTGAGCCACTCTAAGCCCCTGAGGTCGCAGAAGATATGTAACGACCTCAGACAAATTTCGGTGCATGGTATCATTCGCAGACGCTCAGTTCTTCCGCAGTTCATCTTTCAGCTCTTCGATTCATTGAATAGAGTTGCATTGGTATCCGCTAACTCCAGACGGGTAGCAGAGAAACGAGAGCTTAGTCACTGCATCTTCCACTTTGTCGCAGTTCGATCCCGCTCTCTTCCAGTGTTCATACGTAAGTGCATCCGTGTAAAAACAGGCGATCACTGTGACGGCCTAGAATTTAACGTTGATTAATTCCCTACCTGCTCCCACAGTGCTTACAGTGGACAGAGACGTCCAGGGAAAGCAGCTGCTTTTATTTATCCAGCACAGAGGACCATGCATCTCTGTCACTTTGTTGCACTTTCCGCCCAAGGGTGACGGTTTTCTTGTTAACTAGGAAGATTATTCTTTATATTGGCATTGTTATAAAGCGCCGCTAATCGCTAACCTAGGAACCGTTATTTAGTAGCCAAAATGTCTGTCTAGCATGTTACTCAGGGCCGCAGGCGGACTGCGGTAACGTTACTGAGTGTGGACGCCCACCACTGTCGCGTTAAGCCAAAACGGGTGTCACAGGGACCCATGTCATGCGCTTGCCGGACTGCGTTAAGTCTGACCGCCTAACCGGTGACACAACACCCAACATACACTTCTCCCTCCTGCCTCGCTTGCCCCCACTCTCCTGGGACATTCGACCATCGCACGGGTCTATTCGCCTTTATGAGCATCTGCGAAGGTCATCGCCAAACAACGCTATCGGGACTGAACTAAGACACGCCGCCCTACCTACGGCGACCGTTCGACCCTCAAAAGCGACGACTTTCACAGAGTGGGTGCACTTGCGCGTGATTTAGCTTATAGTGAGTCATACTTGTTCAGAATCTACCGTACCCCCTCTTCCCTAACTCGCCTTGCCCCGGATGGCAATACAGTGCCCAGACGACCGAAAGGCGGGAGCGGACTCAGTGGATGGCCCGTCTACACGTGTGGCACACGGACTGGCCCCCGCGTCGTGTACCAGGATGCGACAAAAGACATGCATCCCACCTAGGTGACATGTATACATCTGGTCTCTGAGAGTGGGTGGCTGAAATCGCTACTCGGAACGTTAGAATCAAAATAAACGTCACCCGATGAACGCCTCTCCTTGCGATTTAATTTTATTATAGCAGAATGCGGACGAGCGTTCGAACAAATGACGAAGAGGGTTATTTCTTCGATGTCACTGCCGGCGTCTGTGATGACTGTGTCAATGCTGTTAAAATTGGTGCTAGACCGGTTCCTTAAGCGAGGCTCCCTCGAGAAAATCCTTTCATACGGATCCCACACATGCTCAGTGTTTTCAGCAGTTTTCAACACCTGCCTCCCCCCAGACGTTTTCAGGCGATGAACTTTACACTCAGAATCCGTCACTTGGATCGAATCTCCCAGGACTGCGTATACAGACCCTGAAGGACCACGAGGAACGGCCTTGTGCTCTGCCAGTCTGTAAACAAAAGTCTCGAGACTCCACTTTGTCTCAACTTGAACCAGACGGGGGACAGTCCGAGGAAACTGACTACAGACATGCATTGGTTCTAGAAAATGTCTTCTGCGCAGTAAGTGCAAATACTGTGTAAAGATGCCTGAGTCTGGCGTTCGACAAGTCCGCCTGCTTGTGGGACAAATTGGAATTCGCCCTGGCGATCACGCCTTGAGCACTCGCAGGTGGTATCATGGCGATAAATACTAATTGGGAAGTATTACCAACAAGGAAAAAGGAGACAGGAAACGGCCGTTTCGCATTCGTATCCATTTCCAGTCCCCCTCATCTCGGGCGCGCCTCTGGGTCACAGCCAATGATTTACGTGTCTGGCATACCCTCTGGCGAGACGTCGCGCGCCCTGCCACCGACTGTAAAATGAACAAGGGGTGTTCGTGATTTGGCGCATTTGCTCTATAGAGCTGTCTGAGTTAGTCAGAACGAAAGCTTTCGGAGGGCGTAGGAACAGGTAATCTTCATTAGGGATGTAGCCTGAGAAGATTTTCATCTTTTCGGCGCTAGATGTTGGGTTAACCGATTTGACAACCTTGTTAACAGTTATGGCGACCGCCTACAGGTCACTGATGACCCGAGCGACACGTTATCCGCGCATTCAAGGTCGGGGTCAAATGAAACCTGACACACGCAAAAAGCTGTCGAGTATCGGCGTGATGGTCCGGTTTTTCCAGATTTCGCTTAACATGCCAGTCGAAATATGAGGACAATCAGACCAGCACTCGCGGAATCGTGTATTCTAGGGAGGGCGAGGGTGGACGGGGAACGAAAAAATTGTTTCCTCCGCTCACATTCCACAAAACTATCGCTTGCATGGAAAAAACAGCGCAGTGTCCGTAAGCATTATATCACCCTAACGAGCCATTCTAATTAGAGGTTCTGGTTAGATCGCCTTTCAAAACTTAGCAAAAAAGGAAACGGCACTGCTCCGCATTTGATGAAGCAAGCTGCCAAAACCTCTCATTGATTCACACATTATCTGTGTTGTCTTGACTTGCTCAGAGACGAGGTGGCACCAAGCGCTGAAAGTAAAAGCCAGAAAGCATCCCGGTACTGGTAGGCGAGAGGTAACGTGACAAAAGACGTAGGGAAACCTGAATAATTGTTTCTGGCTCACATATTTTCGTTGGACAACCGCACTTTAATCGAGGGCCAGAAAGACCTGAGGTTTGAATACAGACTCAGTTGGTCAAGGGGGCCGACGCTCAGAAGCGGCGATTGGGAGGATTAGAAGTGACGTGGGAGTGGAGTTAACTGATCTGTTCCGATAACAGGGCGCGATACGGGCACTCCGTTCAGTCTCGGTGTTCTGGTCTGGAGTCCCCACATGCTGCCGGGGAGCAATCCGTAATGGAGAAGCATTACTGGCAAGAACGAGGAAAAGCTGGAGAAGGCATTCCAAACTTTACACCTTCAGCCGGCCACACTTCGTGATTGCTTACGGTTCGTCATCGTCGTCGCTACCTCTAAGGGTTCTAGACCAAAGCTTCGAGGTAAACTGGGACGTCCCTACTTCATCCCGCAATCGGCAAACGCTGCCCACTCGTGGCTGGTGGTAAGAAGGAAAGACCTAACAAACCGTAAAACAAGACATAAGCCAGTTGGGCGGTCGTGATAGCCGAGACACGGGCAGTATACACCATATATTTTACGGTCAGCAACATAGTAATCAGGCCTACAAATCCGCGGAGAGGATGTAAAGTAAAAGAAACCCAAACGGGTGGTATGCATAAGGACAGAATCTACACGCTTTGCTAAGGCGAGGGTAACAGGAAGGAAGCATCTTGAATGGCGGTAGTTCTGAGAAGCAGAAACGTAATAAAAGATAAGAAGCCTATACTGGAATCAGCCGAAAGGGATCTGCACACGCGTAAACACTTGGCGAGTTGTCAGGGATGAAGTCTACACCTGGCGCAGCGGAATGTCTCAGTAAAATGGTATTACTCACTTTCTTCCAGCTCAATTTCACCCAGGAAAGCTTGTGAATGAGTACTTCTACTTACTTATTTTGCCTTATGCATCCAGATCAACTAGATAAAAGTTTGTGCTAATAAGCAATAGAAATAATTGAAAACAGGCAAGATATAGAGGAATGCGCGGGTTAGTGAATACCCGACCCTTTACGGAAAAAGTAAAACAATCAAAGTCTCGAGCATTGGTTTAAGGCCCAGAATGTCAGAAAGAGGAGGTTTTGGGTATGACCTTATCCGACAGGAAGGGCGTTGGTGAAAACTAGGTCTTATGCATCTTTCTTTTGGGGTGGAATAATAATTACTGGCGTAGAAGCATGGTGTAAGACGTAGTCACTAACGCTGCCAAGAAAAGTACGTCTGATCTTGCCAAGTCCCCGACTTCCCATGACGATGACGTCGATCGCCAGCTCTTTGGACAGACGGCAAATATGCTCACCTGGCTTGGCTCCTATATGTAGGACGAATCGAGCCCGAATTCCAAGGGCCTTGGCTTTCTGAAGAAACTTCTTGCCCAAAACTTTTCCCTTATCCACCAACTCAGTAATATGTCTGGAAAAGTCCTCTGTAAGGACAGCCGGTTTCGTGGCAAGTCCGTAGTTAACTCCAGCATTCACTGGCTCCACAACGTGGACCAGAATAAGGCCGTCCTTCTCACGGAGCAAGTTCGCGATGTACCACTCAAAGGCGCGGGCGCTGTCTTCACTGCCGTCGACCGAAATGAGCACCTTTCGTTCGGCAGTTGGCAAGTCATCTTCGTTTTCAGACTCTTTCAGGGATGAACTGTGAGGAGAGGAGCCGACCGTCGCCATTCCCGCACCAATGGACAAGGGCAAACGAATAATAAAACAACCTGGGACACGTGAAGCAACGTTGTTGCAGCTAAGGCATTGGTCGTACTTAACTTTACAGTAGCCAATGAAGTAGCCAGTTTAATAACGACCAATGGACGTTGTCACTAGTAGTTCGCGCACGTCATTCGCACATAGACCCACACGGTAGTGAGGCGTGCAAGGGGTATTTGCAGTCGGGCACTGTCTGTGGCTGCCATAACTGCAAGAGAGGGATATATGGGTATTTTGAGCGCTTGATGTTGTGGGTGAGCGTTTTCGGTTTTGTTCTTCCAGCAAGAGGAGTTGGACCGGCAAAACGCATAATCACTTTCACCGTAAAAATACGTGTAGTCAAAGGAAAACTGCTGCAGTTTACAAAGAACTAGCTCCATTCGGTTTCGAGTACATTTACTGGAAGCCCTTGGATGTTATTTTCAGCCTTTCTCGAAAATTTTCCCCATCATTCGGTTCAGTGCTTTTCGATGATAAGCGTACACTCCTCGTAGCAATCTTCCCATAGGTTTTTTCTTGTGACGTTGTTTTCCGCTTAAGGTTAGTCTTCGCAGTGTACAAGACGAATTATTTGCCTTGAAAAAAGTATTCCGGTTTGCTCGACAGCCGGCCTCTTTTAAGAGCTATATTGGAGTTTTAAGATTAAACCTGTTTTTTCCATTTACAGTTCTAATTTCCTCCATATATCCATCGACTGAGAGCTATTAGTGACACTCTACACCATCGAAAAGTGTTTGCTGTTGCTGTGGCTGTGTCAAATATCAGTGTAAAAAACTAATTACCGACAATGTGATCAGGCGTATTTTGGCAGCCTTTGCGGACTGTTTAGTTCATCCCTAAGAACCATTGTGCAGCGGCCCGGTTCGGGGGACCCATCAGGCATCAGGTTCCTCAGTGCACAAACTTGGTAGCTTCGTAAATTGCCTTCAGCCAATCAACGGCGTCTGTAATTCGGATACATAACCATAATGAGTACATATTCCCTACCACAGAGACCTTTCCTACCCCGGTAGTGTTTAATACCACAAGATTTGCCAATAATCTTGAACAAAACGAAAGTATTGATGTTTCCGCTGTCGGTCTGCGGTGTTAGGGTCAGAGGGGAGCCTCTACAAGGACATTCAGCCAGCCGAATTGGTAGGACTAGGTACTTCAAACACGGAATCGAACACGTGAGCTGTTGCAAAATGTCTAAACAATGATCCGAGCCAAGTATGTCCAAGGCAGCTGGTGTAACGTGTCTTGTCAAAACGGGGCTGGTGGCGGAATTAGCGTTGACAGCTGTGGTTGACCGATCTACTATTATCACAAAAATACCTGGTCATAATAGTGAGACACCAGAACAAGTAGGCAGATTTTACTACCCAACGGGTAGATTCATGCGTAGTGTATCCATAAACGTCGACTTCGGAAGCTATAGTAGGTAATAGCATGCGATAAACAAAACTATCAGTTTTGGGCCCAAACAGTCGATCATTACTTCTATCTTTCCGAACCTATCCATGAATTTACTTTTAATCCTTTTAGGTTATACTTATTATGGAGGTGGGGAAAGGTAGGTGACTGTGAGCAAAATTCTGGAAATATAAGTCACAGTGGTGGTGGTGGTGGTGGTGGTGGTGGTGGTGGTGGTGGTGGTGGTGGTGGTGGTGGTGGTGGTGGCTGTGGTGGTGGCTGTGGTGGTGGCTGTGGTAGCTGAGACACGAATAACACAGGTGCAACACAACTGCGAAGTAGCTGCACGATTCGTACACCGACCTAAAGGTGCAACTTTTCATATGCAGCTTTTCTCAAATGCATGTCGCTTTAGAATCATGTTTTGTTAAGGATATGATTATTGATCAAAAACGCTTATGCTGGCAAACTACATTCTGGCCCCGAGGACGGATTGTCCAATTCCATGGTCCAAGGCGACCTCGGAAGAAGGGAATGGTCACCGGCCGTAAATTCATCTCATGTGCCTGCCTGGTCGTCCCGTTTGATTGAAGACTGAGGACTTGCAGGCTAGAATTCGGGCGGTATATTGGAAACTTCCATTACAAGAAGTCAAATGTCGTCCGAATAAATGGGATCGTCAACTGCTATAGCTTGCCTCATGTACACATTCCTTTGCACGACCCAGTGAAAAGCCTTTGTTAAAGAACTTGCTGCATCAAATTCATGCCACACAAGAGAGTGCCGAAATGAAAACTTACAAGCACGCAAGAACTCTCCGTTTCGCTTTGAGGTTCAGAGCTAAAGTCCTCGGTCGAAGTCCAAAGAGACTGGAATGACAATTTCCGACATGCCTGCTGGCATCGACCGATCATACGCCATACCAGGAAGACCAGTACACGGACCCGGTAGTTTAGCCATAGACAGTTGAGCAAAACGTTCCACCACTGGGCAGTTCCGACTTCTCTCGAGAATATGAAAAGTCACCTAGGAGGGGACTCCACCGATCTCTTCTGACTGCAGAATGGGATACGTACGGTCCGTAATGTCTCGCAGCTTCGGTCTGGAGCCTACACATGCAGGACGCTTTGTTGAATGTTTAAGGACCAAAGAGCCCCGGTTAGGACTCCGAGTCCTGCCAGTCTGCGCTTGGGGTATGCCAGATTGACGGTTTCAAATAAGTCAGATACGGTTATTTCAACCTCTCTTGTCTTTTTGGTAATACCAGTTTAAAATCAAGACTTCTTAAACGATGTGTGGGTTAATAGCAATTTTACTCCCTCAATCTAAACCAATAGTGTTTTGTGGAAGTCAAAGCGATTGGGATTGAACTCATCAAGTATTTTGTGACGTCTTCAATAGCATAGTCGTTCATAGCGATTTTTTCACTGGAGGGAATCGAAGATTCCGTCGACGGCCGGAGTAAAATAACAGTCAAACGACCGATCCTGCTCAACCAACTATCGTGAATTATTAGTCTTGTTGAGGTTCCGAATGCCTCAGCTGAAGTTATTTCATTTTTGACCGTTTAAACTCGAAAAACTGCTCCTGCTGTGCACGCCGCCACCGTTCCCCATTTAATAAAGTCGTGATCAAAAATGGAGTTCGACAGTCGTCTGGGATGTCTAAACAACCCTATTTACGGACTGCACTGCCTACCTCCTTGTGGAGGAAGGGGCTAAAAATGGTGCCCCAAACAAATGCTGGGATCATGTCCTCTGCGTGCTGACCTTGGCTCTCAGATGCAGAACACATGGTCGAGACAACAAAACAACAAGAACCTCTCCCTCTCCTTTCCCCCGCCTCATCCCACAGACTGCTAGGGTGAGTCCGCTCACTATGGAAGCCAGAAATGTTCGTTCCCCTTTTAGATAGTCCGAGGAGCAACCGGCCGTAACGGAGGACAGTTTTAGTCGCTCCGAGAACTGGCCCGCTACAAGATGGACATCACTGCTCTCAGCGAGTCCACTTTCCCCGAAGAAGGCCAACTGGAGGAGGTGGGCGCCGGCTACACCTTCTGGAGCGACCGCCCAAAGGCAGATCGACGATACGCGGTGTTGCCCCTGCAATCCGGAACGACAACATGGGATGACTGTTTTGTATACTGCAGAACATCAACGACCGACTGATGAGCCTGCGTCTGCCTCTTTGGGGATCCAACTTCGCCAACATCATCAGCGCCGACGCCCCACCAATGACCGGCCCAGAGGAGACTAGCACAAAGCTATACGAAGATCTGCACGCCCTCCTGGCGTCTGTGCTGAATGTGGACAGGCTGGTTGCCCTTGGTGACTTCAAAGTCCGAGTCGGGACAGACTGCGCTGCCTGGAGGGGAGCACTGAGCCCTTAGGGGATCGGGGGCCGCAAGGACAATGGTCTCCTTCTCCTGTGAACCTGCACAGACCATTGCCTCCAGCTGATCAACGCATTTTTCTGCCTGCCGATGTTGAAGAAGTCCACGTGGATGCGCTATGATCGCGGCGCTGGCAGTTACTGGACTACAGACTCGTCCGGAGTTGAGATCGACAGGACCTGATAGTGACCGAGGCGATCGCGACGCCGAGGGCTGGACGGGCTGTGGCTGTCTGCGCTCTTACTCGCCAATTTGTATCGCTGGTTTTCTGTCCGCATTACGCTCCTGGTCGATTACTGCCTGGAGCATGCGAGGCTTCTCATTTCCCTAGCGTGGGCTTGACGCCAATCAATACAGCTGCTTTGCTGGTTTGTTATAAGTGGACACAATGGATTGATGGCGGCAACGACTAATGGACACACGGGACACGGCCCTTGCGGACGCGACTTTTTCACGGAATAAAAGGCACACAACACACCGGCAGAGACTGCTTGTAGCGACTACTTGCAGAACCTTTTTTACGCCCTTTAAAAAGTAAAAAGCTAGTCCAAACCGATCTGTCTTCATTGACTTCTAATTCGGTAACCTTCTTGTTGCCGACCATAATTACTTCCTCATGACCAGCGTCTCTCGTCATCTTCGTCTGCAATCCCGCAGGAGGCCACAAGGTAAGCAACCCACAGGTAAGCTGAATACTGTTCTGTTTAATTTGTCTGTTCATCGTTTATATTTTGGCAATAAGTAAACTCAACACCTGCCAGCCCCGGACGTCAAAGCCACCGTAAAGACTCGATGGTGCCAACTGCGGACGCCGTCCATTCCTCGGCCGCGCACACCGTCAACACCAGGCCAAATTCGACGACAACGTCGCGGCCATCAACAACCTGCTCGCCGAAAAAAAAACGGCCCGCATAGAGCCTACAATGGCCGCCCGTGCGATGCATACAAGGCGATCTTCTAACAATGTGGTCGCCTTGCTCAGTAATGATGGCGGGAAATGCAGAACGCCTGGATAGTTCGCAAGGCCGAGGAGATTAAGAGATGCCGGCCGCGATGAAACGAAAAACTTCGTTCCAATCAAGGCGATATACGGTCGCCCAACTAAAGGAACCACGCCGCTTCCCAGCTATGATGGCTCGACGCTTTTGACGGCGAAGTGGCAGAGTCTGAAATGCTGGGC